TTTTTTTTGGTTTTTCTCCGGTACCGGGAACTGAACTCACGACCTTGCGCTTGCCAGGCAGGCGCTTTTGCCGCTGAGCTAAATCCCCAGCCCCTAGTATGATTATTTTAATGACTGTTTCATAGGAGATTTATGTCAAAACTTTTAAATTGAGCACTTTAACTGTATGCAATGCATTGTACATAATTATACTTCAATAGGGCTAATTTTAAATGACTGGATTTACTTGAAATTCTAACCAATTTTATCTTCAACGTGGGTTCCTATTTTCTTATTTCCCTTGCCCACCAATGGTTTTTTTTTTTTGGTACCAGGAATCCAACTCAGGACCTCGAGCTTGCCAGGCAGGCCCTGTGTGCTGAGCTATATCCCAGGCCCCACCAATGGGTTCTTATTCCATCATTTACAATGACTGACATGTGACTAAAATGAGTATAAGTTTGAAGTACTCAGGATTAGTTTCAGAGTAAAAAGTCTAGAATGGTTCATTTAACAATTCAAATTCCACTATGCATGTACTTTTTAAACAATAAACATTACTTGAGGTTTTCTCACCTGCTTTCTAAATCTTTTTGGAGGTTCAGCTTTTCACTTAAAAGTACATCAATCTTGGACCTTGATTCCTTGAGTTGATTCTGTAATACCTGGAACACATTACACAGAAAAATAAGTAACTTTCTGATGAGATAATTATTTTACTTCAGAAAAAAGATTTGGTAATGACTCAGTTTCCATACTGTTAGAAGGCCTTTGTAAGGTAGTGAAGCATTCAGATTTCTGTAATCTTTTTCTTCTTCCGACTGACTTTCATCTTTTTTGTACTGCCTGTGAAAAAACACATGCAACGTATTTCTCATGAAAAATCTACCTCTAAAGAAAAATGCCTATCTAATAAAAATTAAACCTATCTACTAAGTGTTTAATAAACTAAACCTTAATTATGCTACAATTAATTACAATTAAGCGAAACTTCCTCAGCCTCAGGGAACATTAGAACACACTTGTACCTACTATTATATGACGTATCTGTCTACTATCTACCAGAATTCTGTTCATCCTTATCTCACCTCCCAGAAGAATATGAGGTTAAGAGGGGGTAGAAAAAACACTTAAATGAATAAACAAACATAACAGATGTGAAACACCCACGACCTTTTAAAAATATATTCTCTATGTACTGTTTTCCTTAGTAATTCAAGGTCACCGGAAAAAATCTGTATAAAACAGTATAGAACATAAATGGACAAGGCCACAGACTTAACAGTCTTGATTCAAGTCTTGGCACCACCATTAAACAGTTGTGTTATCTGAACAGATCAATCTCAGAATTTTTTTCTCATCTGTACAATACTGTCATTTCCACCTCACAATATTGGTATGAAAATAAAAGATACTGAAGTACTCTGAACTGCAATGTTCTGGGAAATCACTATTACAACTTTGATGCACACATCTGTAATCCCACCACTTGAGAGGCTGAGGCAGGAGGATCACTGTGAGTTTGAGGCTGGCCTGGGCTAACTAGTGAGTGGAAGGCCAGCCTGAAATACAGAGAGACCCTGTCTCAAAGCAAACACAAATAACAACAAAAACCAAAAGCAAAGCATTTAAATGATCTAACACTGTGCTCTCTTGCATGGTAACCTCTAGCTAATATGTGGCTAATAAGCACTTGAAATACTACTAATGTAACTAAAGAACTGAACTTTTTATTTCACTTTAATTAAACTTTAAATTCAAAAGCGGAAGCACTGCAAAGTATTTTTCCATTAAACATAACTTTACTGTTTAGGACACTTCATTTTAACTGTATGTCAGTCATTGTAAAAATGTATCACATGAAGGACTACAGGAGTCTGATGTGTACTGATGCACGCATGATTTCTAAAATTAATTACAAACGTATCATTGTTCAGTATTAATGGATTAACAGTCAAATGATTTATTCCTACAGATTAATATAACACACCACTGTGTTATTTAAGCATGCAGACAAGAGTTCTATCATGAGAAAAACATTGGACATTGTTTTAAAAAAAGAAAAAGAAGATGATACAGCTGTGAATGCTGGTGTACATCTGTAATCCCAGCACTTTTGGAGGCTGAGGCAAAAGGATCACAAGCTTGGGCGACTTCGTAATTTAGCGAGATATTTCTCAAAATAAGAGAACGAGATGGGAATGGAACTTAATGCCAAGGCCCTGCCTAGGTTCGATCTGTCTTTCTGCTCTGGTATTGCTCCTCAGAGCGCAACACTGATAGTAACGTAGAGAGGTACTAACATAGGATAGAAGTGTATTCCCACAGACACATTCATTCTCTTCTAAGTATTTATTCAAGTTAGCCCTCCAAATATCAGCTGGTCTTGTCCTCTCATCTCACTCTTTCGTCTTTTCTTTACCTTTTATAGTATACCTAATTCAGGTGATACTAATACCCTTTCTGGAGATCTCAAAATCTAACTTGAAGTTGCTACAATCTCACTATCAAGTTAGCACTCACTCTCAGAACCACAGTCACCTAATCTGAGTTTATAAACTGTCAATCAATCCTAGAAAACTCTCCTCTTAGTAATGGAGAGATTACTTTTGCAAACTTCAGATGAATTCTAATTTTCTCACTTTATAAGAATACTATTTGTAAGGGATCTCCCATTTTCTTCTTATCTCACTCTCCTTTAATGAGACATCCAAGTGACTGAGGGCTTGGTATGCAGCTCAGTGACACAGCACTTGTTTAGCATACTCAAGGCCTTGGGTACAATCCCTAGCACCACAAATAGCTAAACTAAATAGCCGACTCAAGCTTGCTGTGTACAGGTCAAAGAATTTCACTTAAACTAGACCACTGAGAAGTGCTTGTTAAAGAATAAGCCAGGCGTCGTGACACAAGCCCGTAATCCCAGCACTTGGGAGGCTGAGGCAGGAGGATTGTAGCAAGTTCAAGGTCAGTCTAGGCTATATAATGAGTTCATGCCCAGTCTGAACTACATAGCAAGACCATGTCAAAAAAAAAAAAAAAAAAAGCTAGAGGGATTCCACTCTCCCAAGTCTCACATTTTGCAGTCCCAGATTTCTGCTATATGTTTATGACAACAACATTCATTATCACCACTGCAATGGCTAAATCCTTTAATCATCTTGGGCAGAAGACCTGGTTTCCAGAATTCCAGAGACGTATCACATACCATACATAAAAGATGTCATGATGGCTATGTTAAATCTTCTCTATGCTTATTAAAAACCCCAAACCTTCTCTATCACCTAGATTAGAGGTCAGCAAAGTGCTCCCCACATGTCATATATAACCAGCAAGTTCTGGGTTTTTAAAACTAGTTTTACTGGAACACTGGCCCATTCACCCGTGTATCATCTATGGCTGACTCTGTGGTATAACAGAAATGAGCAGTTGTGAAAAAGACAGCATGATCTAAAATCAAAGACACACCAATCCTTTACAAAAATAAGTTTGCCAACATCTGAATCTAGATTAGAATTTACGAAAGACATATATCAAAAGTTAAAACGTATTCAATTCAGACTACGTAGTATTTTCTAAAACACAGAATTGTAAACATTAAAAGCCTGATTTCATTCACATACCAAACCTTCCAGCACTCCTTGAAAGTCAAATTCGTCTAGTGACACTAGGTTCATCATCCCGCCTGGCCGCCTTCTTAAGGTGGTGCACAGCTTTGCAATATGCATAATCCCCACCTGAACTGCTTGACTCATCCATTATTCCCCGACTCTATGAGCATAAAAGTGTACAACTTACTGAACCACAAAATTCTTCATTTTTCTTTCTCTTTACTCAGACTATGATGTTAGTTTCATGTGTCAGTTTCAGGGACCATGGCTGGTACCCAGCAGTTTAGTAAAGTACCATCAAGATGTAACTGTGAAGTACTGTTTAGATGCGATTAGCACTTGAGTCAGAAGATTTTGAGTAAAGCAGTTACTGTTCATAATGCGGGAGGTCTCATCCGATTCACTGGAGGGCTCAAGAGCAAAGACTGAGACCCCCTGACGAATTCTGACTCCAGATTTCATTTAGCCTCAAGAATGAAACATCAACTGTTCTCAGGTCTTTGGTCTGCCTTGAAAATTTCAAATTTGCTAGTCTTGTAATCATGCAAGCGAATTCCTTTTTATCTATCTACACATCTTACTTATACTGTTTTACTTGAGGAACCTCACTAATACATGTAATCATATTACTCAGGATTTCTGCAGTAAAAAAAAAACAAAGTAGCTACCTCATTTCCAAGGTAACTGATGTCTCATTTATATCTAATTCTTATCCAACCTTTTAATGACTACTTGCCAAGGTTATTATACCAACCTACAAACGTAACAACAAATCCCTTGAACTCCAGCCATACTGGCTTAATTATCATGCCATAAAAAAGTCTTACACTTTCATGTCCATGTATTTTACACATAAAATCCAAGCAGAAGGTAATCCAAAGAAAAATACTTATCTTTCCTCTTTGTGCTTTTCCAAGTTTTACCAATCCTTTAATGCAAGTGCAACCCACATTATTTGGATCCCCTGGTCATTCCATGTAAAACTGATCTCCTGCTCTAAACCCCTATAGTATTTGCCATCTGTACAATTTTTAGTAAACTCAATACGACATTGTGTATTAGTGTTTAAGTCTTATGTTATTTTTCTTAATTACTAATATGTTTACTTTTTCTCTCTCTTATTGGACTGGAAACTGCCAGAAGGTAATTATTTATACCTTTGTTTATGGATTTTTCTAATTTTAGATTCATAGTAGTCAATCAAGGAAAGCAACCTAAAAATAGAAGAGACACTGAATTATTTATAGTTATTATACCATGACTATTCTATCTAATTTCAAATTATAGTGATAAAAGTATAGATTATCTGGAGGGCTTAACACATTCCTGCCAGCTTGAACCACCCGTGGTATGTGCAGCTTGCACCACCAGTGGTATGTGCATGACTGTAACATCCGGTGGCTTCTACTACTCAATGGGACTATCCTATGCCACCTGATGGACAGTCATGCGTGTACCACCAGTGGTTCTGAACCACCCAGCAGCAAAACATGTGAATTATAGCGTGTTGTGAACATTTTTGTTTTGAGACAGGGTCTTGCTATGCAGTTCGGGCTGGGCTCAAGCTTGGGACAATCATCCTGCCTCAGCCTACTGAGTGCTGAGATTAGAGGTATAAGCCACCAGATCTGACACAGGCTTTTAAAATTTTGAATGATTTTTGCCAGAAGTAAATACAATGAGTCATATTTTATGTTAACTTCAATAACAGATTTTAAAGTAATCACACATATTATACCTTTCGTGTACATTCTCGTCTCAATGTAATTCTACATGTAGCAATTCTCTCACAAAAGTATTTGCCCAAGAATACAACTCTACAAAAACTGTTCAGTGCATGATTGAGTGAAGAAACAGAAACCACATGTCCTTCAGTAGGGAAAAGGTTAAATTATGGCACATTATTTGTTACACTGCATATATATGCAGCATTGGAAGAAAACACATAATATTTGCATGTCTTAATAAGAATTGAGGGGGAAAAATGATGCATAATCAAGTGTATACTTTTGTCTAAAAAAAGAAAAAATTATACATGAATTTATATATATATTATATATATATTTTATAATATATATAATATCTATATGTTGAGAAAGAATTCTACGGCCTCTTAACTGGGAGAGAACTGTGATATAGAGGGCATGTGGAGAAGGGGGTTGGTCATCACACTGACCAAGCTGGGAAGGACTGAAATGCCAAAAGTCCATCAATGAGTATGACAACACAACACAACTAAGAATGTCATGGATGCTGTGCTGTAGGCCTCGTGGATTACTTGCCATTCCCAAGTTTTTAATCTATGAAAAGTCGTCTATCTCATTTCCTATTAAAATTCTACAGTTCCTTACAGTCTAACTGAAGTTACCTCCTTCATGAAGCCTATCTGGAGCTGGGTTTAATCCACAGTACTAGCACATAAAATAGAGTGGACAATCTTTGGCCCATATGACAGATTCATATCTAAATTAACCTGACTTCATCTGATGAAGCAAATAAGTATTCTCTCAGCTTCTCATCCCTCTCATTCATACGGCTGTTTTTGGCTTTTATTTCCCATTCCCCCTTATGTCTATTATGACCCTCTTCCTCCCTCTAGAACTGTCACTCTCTCTCTGCCTCCTTTTGTGTTCTTCTTTACCACCTTTTCTTTCCTGCTTCCTTCTTTTCATATTTTCACACCTACTGGTAATTACATTTTTACTTTTTGTTTTTTTGTTTTTTTTTTTTATTTTAAGGATAAAAGGAGGGAAACATTAACAGACATACAACATTTTACAACATATCACAAGCACAATACAGACAATACAGAGTTACAAA